CTTTTCACACCTTGCATTTAGATGCTTTTATCTGCAGTTTATTTGCATCTAGAAATAGTTTTGAACATCTAAACACAACAAAACACATGTCAACCCATGTAAATACATGTAAACACATTTTGATCTTAAGATTTGGTACCAGATGCATCTAAACGCATATGCATATAAACATGCATAGACGCATGTAAACATGCATAGACGCATGTAAATGCCTGTAAGCACGCATCATTTGAAGCATCTAGAAGCATAAACACAGCATCTAGTCTGACAGATTTTCCTTTACTTATAGAGGACAAAAATGCAAGTGGCAAGTGTGAATGTAGACTAATATTTATTGGTGATTGATTTTTCTGATTTTATCTCCAGTCATTCAGCAGAGATTCTGACTGCACTGTCTGACATACAGATAATCCCTCGGGGAGAATCTACAAATCATTTTAATGTATTCATGATGCAGAGTAATTCATGTTCTGCCTCCAAGCTGGCTTTCAATCCTATTTCCTTACACAATGCTAGACATGTGCGCTGGCAAATATTTTGCTTCGGTTTCTTTTGTTTCAGATTTTTTGTTATTTCGGTTTCGGGATTTGGGTCAGAAAGTCAATTTGTTTCCATATTTGGATTCGTCCGAATCTGAATCTTCGTTAATATCAGATGCCTTAGATAATTAGGAACACATGTTGTTGCAGCAAAGTGACATTACATTTTTTTTTTCTTTTTAACTTTTGATACTCCACAGAAACAATAAAAAAAGCAGTGTGGCGTCCCCTCCCTAATTCATATGAGACTCTTTAGGTCTGGTAGGAATTTTAGAGGGAACCCCAATGCCTAAAAAAACAAAAACAAAAAAAAAGTCTGGGGTCACCCTAAAATACCTTACCAGACCCTTGATCCAAGCAGCAGCCTGGCAGAACAGGAAAGAGGGGGGCAACTAAAATGATTTGAAAAGGCAGGAACTGATCAATAACTGGGCACAGGAGCTGATCTATTACTAGGCACAGGAGCTGATCTATTACTGGGCACAGGAGCAGATCAATTACGGGGCACAGGAGCTGATCTATTACTGGGCACAGGAGCCGATCAATTACGGGGCACAGGAGCTGATCTATGGGCACAGGAGGTGTTCAATAACTTGGCACATGAGCTGATCTATTACTAGGCACAGGAGCTGATCAATCACTGGGCACAGGGGCTGATCTATTACTGGGCACAGGAGCTGATCTATTGCTGGGCACAGGAGCCGATCAATTACTGGGCACAGGAGCTGATCTATGGGCACAGGAGGTGTTCAATTACTGGGCACAGGGGCTGATCTATTATTGGGCACAGGAACAGATCAATAGCTGGGCAGAGGAGCTGATCTATTACTGGGCACAGGAGCTGATCTATGGGCACAGGAGCTTATATATTACTGGGCAAAAGAGCAGATCAATAGCTGGGCACAGGAGCTGAAATATCACTAGTCACAGGAGCTAATCTATATAGGCACAGGAACAGATCAATAGCTGGGCACAGGAGCTAATCCATTACTGTTCACAGCAGCTGATCTATTACTGTTCACAGGAGCTGATCTATTACTAGGCACAGGAGCTGATCTATTACTGGGCACAGGACCTGATTTATTAGGCACAGGACCTGATCTATTACTGGGCACAGAAGCTGATCTATTACTAGGCACAGGAGCTGATCTATTAGGCACACGAGCTGATCTATTAGGCACAGGAGCTGATCTATTACTAGGCACAGGAGCAGATCAATTACTAGATGCAGGAGATGATCAATTGCTAGCCACAGGAGCTGATCTATTACTAGGCACAGGGGCTGATCTATTACTAGGCACAGGAGCTGATCTATTACTGGGCACAGGAGCAGATCAATAGCTGGCCACAGAAGCGGATCTATCACTAGGCACGGGAGCTGATCTATTACTAGGCACATGAGCAGATCAATAGCTGGGCACAGAAGCTGATCTATCATTTTGCCCAGGAGCTGATCTATTACTAGGCACACGAGCAGATCAATAACTGGGCACAGGAGCTGATCGATAGCTGGGCATAGGAGCAGATCAATAGCTGGGCACAGGAGCTGATCTATTACTGGGCATAGGAGCTGATCTATTACTGGGCACAGGAGCTGATCTATTACTGGGCACAGGAGCTGATCTATTACTGGGCACAGGAGCTGATCTATTACTGGGCACAGGCGCTGATCTATTACTAGGCACACGAACAGATCAATAACTGGGCACAGGAGCTGATCTATTACTAGGCACAGGAGCAGATCGATAGCTGGGCACAGGGGCTGATCTATTACTGGGCACAGGAGCTGATCTATAGCTGGGCACAGGAGCTGATCTATTACTGGGCACAGGAGCTGATCTATTACTGGGCACAGGAGCTGATCTATTACTGGGCACAGGAGCTGATCTATTACTGGGCACAGGAGCTGATCTATTACTGGGCACAGGAGCTGATCTATTACTGGGCACAGGAGCTGATCTATTACTGGGCACAGGAGCTGATCTATTACTGGGCACAGGAGCTGATCTATTACTGGGCACAGGAGCTGATCTATTACTGGGCACAGGAGCTGATCTATTACTGGGCACAGGAGCTGATCTATTACTGGGCACAGGAGCTGATCTATTACTGGGCACAGGAGCTGATCTATTACTGGGCACAGGAGCTGATCTATTACTGGGCACAGGAGCTGATCTATTACTGGGCACAGGAGCTGATCTATTACTGGGCACAGGAGCTGATCTATTACTGGGCACAGGAGCTGATCTATTACTGGGCACAGGAGCTGATCTATTACTGGGCACAGGAGCTGATCTATTACTGGGCACAGGCGCTGATCTATTACTAGGCACACGAACAGATCAATAACTGGGCACAGGAGCTGATCTATTACTAGGCACAGGAGCAGATCGATAGCTGGGCACAGGAGCTGATCTATTACTGGGCACAGGAGCTGATCTATTACTGGGCACAGGAGCTGATCTATTACTGGGCACAGGAGCTGATCTATTACTGGGCACAGGAGCTGATCTATTACTGGGCACAGGAGCTGATCTATTACTGGGCACAGGAGCTGATCTATTACTGGGCACAGGAGCTGATCTATTACTGGGCACAGGAGCTGATCTATTACTGGGCACAGGAGCTGATCTATTACTGGGCACAGGAGCTGATCTATTACTGGGCACAGGAGCTGATCTATTACTGGGCACAGGAGCTGATCTATTACTGGGCACAGGAGCTGATCTATTACTGGGCACAGGAGCTGATCTATTACTGGGCACAGGAGCTGATCTATTACTGGGCACAGGAGCTGATCTATTACTGGGCACAGGAGCTGATCTATTACTGGGCACAGGAGCTGATCTATTACTGGGCACAGGCGCTGATCTATTACTAGGCACACGAACAGATCAATAACTGGGCACAGGAGCTGATCTATTACTAGGCACAGGAGCAGTTCGATAGCTGGGCACAGGGGCTGATCTATTACTGGGCACAGGAGCTGATCTATTACTGGACACAGGAGCTGATCTATTACTGGGCACAGGAGCTGATCTATTACTGGGCACAGTATATTATCATTGCTCATGTCGCGTCCACGGGAGTTTCTGAACTGGGATATAATTTATGTTATGGAAGATATAAGGATTAATATGATAATGGAGGTAACTCTGTGTTGCTGTCTGGTGGAATCTCTTTTGGCATCAGGTGACAGATGAAAAGTGGATTGATTACCTCTATTGCAATAATTATGTCAATGTAAATAACACACGATTTTCATGCGCTCCCATTGAAGTCTGTAAGGGTATTGCACCATTACAAGCCCTTGCGACTTTCTAAAAATCGCATAAGTGTGAATGGGCACCATGGAGAACAATGGGATTTTTATCGTTGTGCATCGCAGACACGCAGAAGTGTGAATGGGGCTAAAAGAGATGATGAGCCTCTTAATAAATTGTGGGAATATTCCCCTCAGTTATCCAATCATGTGAAAAGCAAATACCTGCTTACCTATTTTATCTGCACATGTTTGGATGATGGAAGTGATCATTTACACAATGTATTACCGGCAGATTCTCAACTCCTTGAGTAAATCAGCCCAATTGCTTGCAAAAAGCAAGCTGCAAAAGTAAGCATACAGGCTAATGAAAGCAAGCAGAATAAAATGATTTAACTCTTGAATGTTTTAAATAACGCAGAGGAGAGAAGGAAATATAATAACATAATAGCGATCTGTATTGTAAAGTGACTGGATGTGTATTGGAGTGCAGGGTGCAGCTTGCACTTTCCTTAAAGTGGGCGGGGACTCCCTGTGTGGGCGTGGTGATAAGTTCAGGGAGTAGATCAGCCTGCCAGCTAGACTTCACATAGTGATGCAGCTTCATAGCAGGACGAGAAGGCACTTCGTACTATGAGCATCTACAGAACTGGGAGTGACACCGAGGCACAGGAGCTGATCGATAACTAGGCTCAGGAGTGGATCATTTACTGGGCACAGGAGCTGATTTATTACTGGGCACAGGAGCTGATTTATTACTGGGCACAGGAGCTGATCTATTACTGGGCACAGGAGCTGACCTATTACTGGGCACAGGAGCTGATCTATTACTGGGCACAGGAGCTGACCTATTACTGGGCACAGGAGCTGATCTATTACTGGGCACAGGAGCTGATCTATTACTGGGCACAGGAGCTGATCTATTACTGGGCACAGGAGCTGATCAATTATTATGCACAGGGGCTGATCAATTACTAGGCACAGGAGCTGATCTATTACTGGGCACAGGGGCTGATCAATTACTAGGCACACAAGCTAATCAATTACTGGCCGCAGGAGCTGTTCAATCACTTGACACAGGAGGTGGTCTATTACTGGGCACAGGAGGTGGTCTATTACTGGGCACAGGAGCGGGTCTATTACTGGGCACAGGAGCGGGTCAATCACTGGGCACAGTATTTTATCATTGCTCATGTCTTCGGTCCATGAGAGCTCCTGAACTGGGATATCATTTTTCTAATGAAGGACTTAAGGATTAATATGATGCTGGTGGTAATTCTGCAGTGCTGTCTGGTGGGATCTCTTTTGGCATCAGGTGAGAGATGAAAAGTGGATTAACACTTTTGCATTAAATATGTCAATGTAAATAATACATAAATAAATAACAAAAAATAACAGTGTAACATGCTTTAGGATGGTTTGTATTATGGAATTGGTTATAGAAATTATATGATTAATACCGGTTTGTACATAGAATCTGCTTTGCATTATTGGCATTATTTCTAGAAAGGATGGAACATGCCAGAGATTTCCTTTAAATCATTTTTATCTATATTCTTTTGTAGTTTTAAAATCAGTATAATTGATCAGTGTTCAAAATCCCATGAAAATTTCCTTGGACAGATTTAAAAAGTCTGTGACTGGAAAAAAGAGAACGTTATTAGCAACATAAATAAAAAATGTTCCCCAACCCACTTTGCTAAAATGTGCTTCACCTGCTCATATCATATTGATATACTGTAGCAATGACAGCTATGTAAAAAAAAACAAAAGAACAAGTCACTATTTACTGGTCAATTTGTAACATTTTGTATTAACTTGGTGTTTATTCCTCACAAGCTGTTAATATGTTATAGTACATACATACATTAATATGGGTAACCAATGTAGATACCTTTTACCTGTTATTTTGCATTCCCTTCCTCAAACTTCTGTCTATTTCCTCATCAGTTATCGTTAATGCAATTCCATATTCCCTAAGCAAAGATATTTATGTGTATGTGACAACTACTATTAGGCTCATCAAGGTATATATATATATATAATGTACCTTTAAACATATTATTAATAATGCCTACAGTAAGTAATAGTAACCTCCTGGTGCGTTATGCAACATTACAGGAAAGGAGATGAGAAAGTACAATTAGTTCACACGTCACTTGCGGTAAAGTACATAGGAAGGGTGTTGGGAGTCCACAGTGGGAAAGGACCATGGTCACATGCTACGACACACAGAGAGGATTTAAGGCCAGGTTAATTTTGTCAGTCCAGTATGAGTAGTTAGATGGCCAGTTCGTTTGTCATAGCAGAAGTATTTCAGGATTGGTCCAAACAGAGTGAGATCTTCAGATGAGGGCTCATTATTTCCAATGTCCCACATCCGTTATAAAGGACATTGAAGCTAGCTTGGCATAATAACAGGAACCCCACCCAAGTCTATGAATTGATTTGCTATGCATTTCTCCCTGGACCATCTGCACCATCTTCCTGTTATGATAAACTGAGCGGTGAAGGTGCACAGCTAAGAATGTATCATGTGGATGTTTCACACACTGTGCTCTTACTTAAAAGTTCTCGTTTTATACCCTGTTGTTTTTCATTCTCTGCAGAGTTCCCAACTTTAAGTACTAAGAAAAGTACACTTGTAATGCCTTCAAACAGTACACTAAACATCACATGCAGGTATGTCAAAGATAAACTCCAAATATATATATTTTTTGCTGGTTTGGTACCTCAGATATGTTGGATGTCATGTGTTGGTTTAATAGGGAAATAGTAAATGCATTTTCCTTCAGCCTACCTTCAGTTTTGTTACTTATGAAGGTTTTATTTACAGCTGGCCTTTGCAATATAAGGTCATTTCTGTATCCAAGAGAAATAAGAGTCAGCTTGACAATATGACACTGCAAAATAAAAGTTAAAACAAATTTAAGTTAAGCTCTTAAACTATTTTACCCATAACTGACCTGTGAGCTCTTCTTTACACCTTCTAAAAAAATTCATGAAACCCCAACAGGAAATGTGTATACACATGTAACAATGTCATTGAGTGACTTTCTAAGATAGAAATGCTCCTTGGATTTATAAAGACGGGGCCACTCATTTAATAATGGATCTTAGTTGCTTGGCTGTCCTGTGCTTCAGTATTTTCTGAGTTACTGAACTAGAACAGGCATGTGGCCTGTTAGGTCAGAGTGAAGTCAGAACTCCTGATCTTCAATCTTTTTCTGGCATAGTTACTTAGAGTCTATTGAAGCCAATGATCATCATTAAAAGTAGACAACCAGCATTTTCAGAAGCTAGCAATAGCCTACATATTTCTGCTCAGGCAGGACGCCTTTAATATGTTACTCATTTGCCTGGTAAATAGTAGATCCATGCTTTGTTTTTCATACATGAACTTTTGTTTGTATTACCATTAATTAATACCAATGTTACATAGTTACATGGTTACATAGTATTTGATGTTGAATAAAGACATAAGTCCATCAACTCCTACCTATTGTGTGTGTGTGTGTATAGGTCCCTGAGTCATCTCATTCTTAAGAGTACCTGTACCCCTGTACATTATGGTCTGTCAGGAAATCGTCCAAAAGCTTCTTGAATGATTCCACACTATTTGCTGAAATCACTGCTTGTGGCAGTGAGTTTCAGACCCTAACCGCGCGAACTGAGAAGAACCCCCTTTGCCCCTTGTGTTTGAATTTTTTTTCTGCCAGTTTTAGGTGGTGGCCTCTAGTCTTTGTTACGGAATTAATCTTAAAGAGTTTGTTGCTATGACTATAGAACATCTTGTACATGAAAATCATGTCCCCCCTTATTCTCCTTACTTCCAGCGTGAACATATTTAAATTTAGTAGTCTTGACTCATAGTTCTGGTCCTCCATCCCCTTGATGAGTTTGGTTGCCCTCCGCTGGACTCTCTCCAGCTCAAGGACATCCTTTCTGTGTACCGGTGCCCAAAACTGCACCGCATACTCCAGGTGAGGCCGAACCAGTGATGTGTAAAGTGGCAAAATTATAGACTTGTCCCTGCAAAACATTCCCTTCTTGATGCAGGACAGGATTCTACTAGCTTTGCTTACAGCAACCTGGCACTGTAATCTATTATTCAGTTTATGGTCTACAATGACCCCCAAATCTTTCTCCATTTCAGACTTCCCTAGAGGCAAATCAGACTTCCCTAGAGGCATACCCATAATTGTATAACCCATTTGCTTATTTTTAATCCCAAAGTGCATTACTTTGCATTTATCGATATTAAACCTCATCTGCCACATAGTTGCCCACTCCCCTATTTTATCCAGGTCCTCCTGCAATGTTATACTATCTTGGTCCGTTTCTATTACCCTCCCAATTTTGGTATCGTCAGCAAACACTGAGATTTTGCTGTTTACTCCGTCCCCGATGTCGTTAATAAACAAGTTGAAAAGCATGGGTCCCAGCACAGAACCCTGAGGCACACCGCTAATGACACTAGCCCAGTCTGAGAGGGCGCCATTTATTGATACTTTCTGTACCCGTTCCTTTAGCCAGTTCTCTATCCATGTACACACCCTTCCATCTATGCCCATGGACCTCAGCTTGTATAGTAATCGTTTATGAGGTACCGTATCAAAAGCCTTTGAGAAATCCAGATATACCACATCCACAGACCTCCATCCAGATCTCTATTTGCCCCTCGTAAAAAGTCAGTAGGTTAGTCTGACAGGAACAGTCTTTCCTAAACCCATGCTGATTGTCATTAACTATACCATTATCCTGAACAAATTCTACCAAGTAGTCCTTAATCATTCCCTCTAGCAGTTTACAAACTACCGATGTAAGACTAACTGGTATGTAATTCCCAGGTTGGCATCTTGCCCCCTTTTTGAATATGGGAACTACCGTAGCCCTCCGCCAGTCACTCGGAACTCTACCAGTCATTAGAGAGTCCTTAAAAATGAGGAATAATGGTCTTGTTATAACCTCCCGTAGTTCCTTAAGTATCTGGGGTGCTGGTTATCTGGTCCCAATGCTTTATTTGCATTAAGTAGATTAAGTCTTTGTTGTAATGTTAAAGAAGAACTCCAGGAATTGCACACTCCAAGGGTTAAGTGCTCATTTGTGTCTACAATAACAAAGATACAGTCACCCAAAGTTCCAGCTGTCCAGCTGTCATGGCTCCCGCCAGCCTGTCGCCTCCTCTGCAGCAGATTGTAATGTTCCTCAGCATTCTCACGTCTATGTACAGTGTACAGACGTGATGATATACGGGACCTTAGACCACTGCAGAGGAGGGAGAAAGACATTCCAGGAACCGGTCTAAGAAAAACCTGGCTTGGAGCTTTGGGTGAGTATATCTTTGTTTTTTTAACCTAGACACAAACAAGCAGTTAACCCTTGCAGTGCGGGGGTAGAATTAAAAAATTCCTGGAGTTCTGCTTTAAATACCACTAGAGGCTTTTTATAATTCAAAGTATAAGATGGCCTTCCTTACCATCTTGTCTTGAATTGTATTGTAATGTCTTCCTTATAGTGGGTCCCTTATATTGTAAAGCGCTGTGCAAACTGTTGGCGCTATATAAATCCTGTAGAATAATAATAATAATAATTTAAATTGGCATAATATCTTTTCTGTTTTAAAAATATATCCATAGACAGAAGGAATAATCTCATATTGTGTCCCAGTTAATATTTACAAACTCTTGACATTTTACACTTTTAATTTTGGTTGCACAATGACAACAGCGTATGGTTTAACCACAAAATACACGATATGGCTAAAGTATGTAGACACCCCGCCCAAATGATTGAGTTCAGATGTTTCCGGGGAGGGTACTATTAATGCTACAGCATACAAAGACATTTTAAACAATTGTGCGCTTTCAACGTTATGGCAATAGTTTGCAAAAGACCCATTCTGTACCAGAATGACTGTGCCTCTGTGCACAAAGCTAGGTCTACAAAGATATGCTGATGAGTGTGGTGTCGAGGAACTGAAGCAATCGGCTCAAAGTCCTGACCTCAGCCCTATTGAACACCTTTGGGAGAAATTGGAATACCAACTGTGAGCCAGGTTTTATTGCCTAACATCACAACCTGACCTTTCAAATATACTTTGGGCTGAATGGACACAAATTACAATAGACACACTCCACAATTTTTGTATATCCTTTCCTGGAAGATTGGAGACTGGTATAGAAGCAAAGTAGAGTCCATATTAATCCCCATGGTTTTGGAATGGGATGTCCAAAAAAGCTCACATAGTTTTGGTGGTCAGGTGTCCAGATACTTTTGGCCATATAGTGTATGGTTTCTGCATGGTAAAATAGGACAAACATAACCTTCCATATTACCTTTTGACATCACACATTGGATCATTTATACAAGCTGTTTTTTGATGATTTAAGGACATATGGCAGAGATTAACAGGATGGTGTATGTCCTTTATTTCCTAGTGGGGAGCAGCCAGTAGAGTGGACATGGCATGTGAACCTCAGCACTGATGATATCCGCATATCCCTGATTCAGTGCAACGAGAATGTCTATTGCCAATTCCTTGTGGTTAGAGAGCTCACAGCAAATGACACTGGAATGTACAAGTGCTTCTATGAAGGAAGCAATGCTACCTCACATGTTCACGTGTCTGTTGTAGGTAAGTGGATTCATGTTGTGCTTATTTACCTTTAGATTGTTTCTGGTACACGCAGTTTAGCACTCTCCATGTTATCTATATCTCCATCTTATCTACATGTCCTTTTTTCATACATCTCCATCTTATTGATCTACAATAGCCATTTCCTCCTATCAGCTGACATGAAGCTATATTGAGTCTTATCTATGACAGTTATGGTTATATCTCAGTATATTCAGTTGTTATTCAGCAATTCAGTTGTCAATTTCCAAGGCAGGCATACATCTGAGTTTTGGTTTGGTGAAGTCATAACAGTTATTAATGTTTATGTCTAGTTTAAGCCATTTATTTTGTTTTGGATAGAATGGAGAACATTTAGCAGCTATTTTAGGTTTTCATTGTTGTATGTGTCACCACTTGATAGGTTCACTTTCTCTATTAATAGTTCTTACCATTTCATACGCTATCCAAAGTTTATAAAGAAAGAAAACGTTTGGACTAGGCACTTTTATTCACAGACTTTGATAAAAGGGGTCCAATGAAAGTCAACTTGATAAAGCTGCTAAACTGGACTAACAACCCACTCTAAGATTTGCCACTGTGGAACAGCAAAAGAGTGAGTGAGCTTCCTTACTTAGTGAAGACAGTGGTGCACAGTCCCCGTAGACAAAATAACAAATGCCTGTTGTAGATAGAGTTGCATCTAGTCAATGAAGTCATACATACTGTACAACAACATGATTATTTACATTCACTATCATTATGACTACCAATATGTATACTATAGACACATCTGCTGTTTGTAGTAATCAGAATTAGTCTCAGAATGCACTAGTAAAATCTACACTAGGAATTAGTAACATCACAGAGAAGTGAATACTGCAATAATGTAAAATAAATGTAATGTCGTCTTTAGACCAGCCATCTCCATTTGTGCCAATCAAATCTCCATTGGTGACCATCCATGGCACTGCTTCCAGCAATGAATCTGTGACCATACCATGCCTGGTCTCAAGACCTGATCTCAACATGACTCTGCGTACGGTAAGTGAAATTCTCACACATTCTATGTTTACTATGGATTTATGGACTTCTAAGTACCAATATGTTCTGGTATTAACGTGTACTGGTATTCCGCATTAGGTGTAACACATAAACCATCCTAATGGGATAAACTAAAATGTATCCCCTACTCTACAATATTAAATTTGGGACATTAAACTAGTAATCCCACCCTGAGGCTGCTTCATGAACAACTCCTACAGATGACAAGCAAGTTGTTTCTTTTGTGGGTATAAAGTACATACATCAGAGCTTCTCCTGTTATTCTATGTTATTATACACTGAGTGGCCAGTTTATTATGACCACCTGACGTTTGTAATTTCACGCTGAAGTTGCTAGAGGGCCAGACCATTATAAATAGGGAAGCAGGTTGTTTACCACGACTGATTTTTTTCTGACGATATGGGTAAACAACGCGATTTAACAGCCTTTGAACGTGGGATGATTGTTGGAGCTCGGATCCATGGAGCGAGTATCAGCAAAACAGCAGAATTTGTTAAATGTTCAAGAGCAGCTATTGTTAAAGTGTTTAAAGACTGAACTGTCAGCCGAAAATCTGGGTCTGAACGTGCGAATTGTGGCCGTCAGCGACTAGTCAATGTTAGGGCAGAACGGAGAGTGGCAAGACTGGTACAAGACAACAGAAGGGCAACAGTGCAGTGTCAGATTCCTCGCATCACCTTTCAACATCTCGTGGAGTCACGAGGCGGCCCAACTAAGTCATCTTGTGGAGTCATCTCGTGGCCCAACGAAGTACTGATGTGGTGGTCATAATAATTTGGCCACTCAGTGTACATATACAAAGTGTGACACCCAGTCCTTTACAATAAACAAATTCCACATATATAACAGCCTGTGCTTCTGTGAGTTCTTCGTGCTTCATAAAGAAGTGTCTTCATTAATCCACCTTAATTTGTGCACACCACCTCCACCTAAAAGTGGGAAGAGACTCACCCCTCTGATTGCCTCTCTATTTATGGAAATGTAAATACTGCATGGGAGTCAAAAATATTCTTTCCTGTTCCAATTCCTTCCAATAAACCAAGACTGCTACAGTCTGTGCATGTTAATAATTCCTCATATATACCATACCATAAGGAAGGAATATTAAAATCTCACATAGCATAAAACCATAAAATCATTTAATGATTCAAACAATAAAACCAGTACTTACATCCTTATAAAGTCTCACAGCACTATATACACAGCATCATGTAGTATCTCATAAAAAAACACTGTACTTGTGTACAAACAATAGCATTTGTGTGCTATTGCTTACATACGCACAGCAAAAATGCATTCTTTTGGGGCTTCCTGTATCCTAGCAACAAAGGGCAGAAAGCGGCAGGAGCTGGCTAGTGTCCCTTGTTCTTTGCTGCTTGGACACAGGCAGCTCCTTGCTGCTTAGAGTCCTTCATTGCTAGGATGCAGGTAGGTTCTGCATCCTAGCAACCATTAGTGTAAATTTGCACTATAAGCTGTGTGTAAACATTAGCACAAATGTTACATGGGTATAGTGTACAGGCAAGATTTTACACAGAATCTCGTTGCCAGCAAGATCCTATGTTACATCATACACCCCTGTGCATGAGCGCAAAATTTATTTTCTCTTCATTTCAGTTTCAGAGATTTCCTGTCACTTCAAGAGAAGAAGTGAGTAGAAATCTCCCAAATGGGGAAACAGAAGGCAATCATAACATAACAAAGCCTTTAACCTTTTTCCTGTCCCATCAAAACATTTTGGCTGGAGCTGGACTTTAAATCTTTAAAATCTAATCATTAAAATCTTGTAAAAAATATTAAGTGGATAGTAATATAACAAGAAAAGAACTCCTACGTTATTCCTGTGAAGTGAAGGGAGAAAGGAATGTTCTTTGTTACAAAACCCTGCACTCTTAAAGATGCCTGAAGCCCTAAGGGTTGCATAAGATCTGCACCCCTCCTCAAATAGTTTAAAGCCAGTTGGTTATTGGTGGATGCCGCACTCTAGGCATACCAATTTACTGTTGGTATGTGATGATATTGCTTTCATCCTTTTCAGCTGATTGGATACCATGCCATTGTTACCCATTAGTGCATGCTTCTGGTTCCATAGCTTTGCTTTCTGGGTCCAAATAAGAATGATTCATTAGCCTACTTTTTTATAATTAATTTTACATTTTTATGTTTAGACCTTTATTTATGTTAAGCTATTTCATCTGTGTTTATTAACTTGAACATGTTCAGGATTTCCTGAAGCTTTCTTTCAGGCATTTGTTTATAACATAAAAAATGTTCCCGCTATATCTCTGAACTAAGTGATCAGTTAACAAAGAATAGATCACACGAGACCATAATAATAAACAATGTTTTTTCCTTAGAAATATGCAGTCAACACATTTCTCCCCAATGGACACAATATTCAGTGGCATTATCAGAAGGGGTTCACCATCTCCAGTGGATTGCTGAGGTTTGTCGATATGGTCTTCTGTGAGACAACTCTCAATGGAGAAACATACAGATCCAGCAACTTTATCATTGTAGTTATAGGTATGAAAACAACCGTACACGTTCTATCAATTTTTCTCTGTTATGTTACTGCTGGTGATGATTAATTAACCGTTTTTAATTTTTTGTTGTCATTCAGAGTATAGGATCTATAGCCTATCAATGAACCCATATCCTCAGATCAAACTGGCTGTAGGGGACAGGCTGGAACTAACTTGCAAAGCTCATACTCCATTAAATGCCAGAGTCAAATACAGTTGGGACTATCCTTCAATGATGGTAATCATAGTGGTTCCTTAATTTATAGTTTTTTATTATGACATGTTTTGTGCAGGCTAAAAATGTTGGCAGGTCACACATAAACATACACCATGAAAATGGTGCCATCTTCTGGGTGTTCCCATTAATCATCAGTGTGTGTGTTCAGGTCATGGCACTCTGGTATTCATAACCTCTCTTTCTGGTAAAATTAATATCTTTTATATCTAATCTTATTGATATATCTTATGCAAAATACACATTTCATACCACATAGGGGCAATTATCTGCATTTTAAATGTGTATTTTGCATGTTCTTGAAGACCTTCACTCTTCAAAATTAATATCACTAAATAAAAGCACTATTCCTTCAAATGAGGTAGCAGGTAATAGGCATGGCAGTGCAGGACCAGACACACTCCACCACATCATGATTCATGTACACCATTTATAGAGTCTAAAAAAGAAGATTCTGTTAAATCATGGAAGCTGGCTTACTTTTCCTGGTATAGATCTACTAACTAAGGAGTTGATTCAGTCAATATGAATTTAGTTAGATGTCACATCAGGGTCACAATAAAAGCAAAGGCAGTGTTACCTTTTTAAGGTTCAAATAATATACAGTATAGTGGGAAGGAGGGCTTATCTGACATTACAGGTAGCATTCTCTAGGACAGTTTTTGATTTCTCTTTGCCACAGAATCAAACTATTGTTATATTCCTTTCTTTGAAATATTTAGAAAATACTCTTTTATTTTGGAACTTTAGTGAAGGCTATTTTGTTTGCAATTTTAGGATGTTGGAGTGGCGCTGATTAAAGGGAAATTAAATTATGCACCCATCGAAATGGAGCAGTTGAGTTCACTAACGATAGAACAGATAACTTTGAGACATGGAGGGAATTACAGTTGCACAGCAGATACAGGAGGAATGAATAAGACTAACAGCACCACGGTCATTGTGTATGGTGAGTACATGGTCATGTCACAGTTCAGGTTTTCAGTTTCAAGCTTTATTTGCATTGTATTAATTGCCTTATAATTCTATCTGGTGACTAGTGTCACTCTTTCGCACAGTTTTTTTTAAAGTGCAACATCTTTGGTTGACTAAACAAATGTATTTTCAGAAAAACCTTTTATATTAATCGATGAGACAATGGAGAAGGTGTTTATCGTGAAATCTGGAGATCGTGTCAAGATACCAGTCAAGTTTACAGCATTTCCTGATCCAGAGGCCAAATGGTATGAGCTCTTTCCGAAGATCTTTTTGAAAGGCACTCATATGTTTCATTGAAGTAAGAAATAATATTGCTGTGCCTTTCTTACAGGCTTAAAAATGGTAAAATGTTTTCCCACAATCACAAAACTCCGTACTTCCTTTCTATCAATGAATGCAGCGAAAGAGACTCTGGCAATTATACAGTTGTTCTTACTAACCCACGGTCAAAGTTTTTTTTAAAAAAACAAGTAAAAATATTTTATATTTTAAAAAAAACATTGTAAAAAGGTGGAGAGGGAAGGTAAAGCCATTGTTACCCTTCTTTCTAGTCCCTCCACACATCTGTGAAAAGGCGGTATCTACTTCTGTGGAATCAATCAAGTTTGGCAAACGTTCTACGCTAACTTGTACTGCATCTGGGATTCCATCACCAGTTAATATCCAGTGGACATGGCAGCTGTTGGAGGAATGCACCTCGTCATCTCAGTAAGTGAACTGCTTAGGTCTTATTGACATGAAGATCGCTTTTAAATGGTGGAAATTTAAAGGTACTCATATACATTAAATGGCAATTTGGTGTGCAGGCATTCAGATCACCAAAGTTTGTTGTTTCACTGCCAATCCTTTTAAAACATTTCTTTTGGGTTGAAAAAAACCTTTGTCCAACACCCTAGAACAATTATATTTTGTGGTATTTGAACACGGCTGCTATTGTCTACTTCAGTCAACATTGTCCAGGTCAGTTACCATTAAAGTTGCTTGTACGTTATACCTGATAGTAGCTTTCTAACAAGCTTTCTTTAACCTAGACTTGTAAAACAGGATACATAAATAGTAAGTTGCTTTAGTTACAGAATGTCAAAGTTGCAGAATGTTAATATACCATTTTGTTTAATGGAGTCAAAAGAGAAGTACAGCTAAGTTTTTTTGTCTTTCATTCTCATTTTTGTTATAAGAATATTGTTACTTATGTACTCCTGTGACCCAAAATCAGCCAACAGTGGGCAAATGCTCGCTACCAAATGACAGGTCAGAGCTGTGCCATAGGCAATATCGTCGGGATCCACCACAGTTGCCTAATTGACAGTTGGCTTTGCCTGTTTGCATGCATCTGGGGGCCAGTCGGTCATACCCCATTCCCAGCCTATAGCTCCAGGCAGCACTGGAGGAGCAGAGAGGAGGGGAAACCCTTCAGAGACTGATAGTCACTGCCCTATACTGTTAGCAGAGGCAAGAGCTGACTGATCAGTGTTCACGTGATCAGCTCTCGGTTTTAGATATGGCATGGGACAGCGTCACAATGATGCTAAAGCATTGGGGTGAATATGAATGTTTAATATTATATTTACCCTGGACTTCTCCTTTTAATATGATCGTACACTGCATACATCCCACTCTAGCAATTCAACACAAGTAGGTAATGATGAATATTAGATTATTCTCTATACTCTCACAATTGTAATCTGTCCCTAAAACAATGTCTCTTGGTTGCAAAAATGTAAAGGTCATCAAAGAGGGACATACTGTATAGGTTGCATCCATCAGACTCTGTATGCACAGGGATAACCAGTACAACATCAAATGGCAATGAGGTTTTGCAAGTCCCACTAAGTAGGCATTAAAGTAGGCTACCTAGGTATAGATACCTCACTCATTTTTACATAGGGTTTATGCACAGGGTCTATTTATCCTGTTTATCTTTAAAATCTTGATCTCTTGAAGCTAGCTATTTGTAAGCCAAAGGGAAGGGTGGCATACTCCCAACCTCTTTGTCTTATCTCAGAGAGCACTACTGTAATGTATCTTTTTCTGATCAGTTAAGGCATAGGTACTCCATTTTATCACTTCTACTTTGGTACAGTAGTGCGCAGTTATAACTGAGCTTGCAGTGCTTAGTGTTATCTGGGTGAAAGGCCATCTGAGAGGAAGTGTGCTGATTGATGCAGAGATGACAGACAAGGATCCTGTGCTAAGCCCACATGGCTTCCCTTATCAGACCACTGCAGAGGCTCAGACTTCCTGCTGCAGAGACCAGAGCAATCCGCTTTCCTGCTGTTGTTGACCAGATGATTTCCTTTAGCATCTTCCTTTGGAACCACAGCGCTTCCTACCATCCCACAGAAAAAAAGTCTTTTAGGAGGCTTACGTGATTCTTCATCTTCGTTTTAGCTTCTTAAGGAGAATTAAAAACTTATGAATGAACCTATTTTTTTCTGTCTTCTATGAGCCCCGCCTCTGTTTCCTCCCATCCAAATATTGGATCTAATTATGGAAAGGATGTCGGCAGTCCACCTTTTCACCCGGATACTACTATTTATTTACCGTGTATTGATCTTCACATGCCCCATTGATCTAGAATGCCACATAATGCTTGAGTGTTCCTTTTGTTTATAGGTATTTTTTTTGTCTATGCTGATTTAATGGTTATATTATTAAAAGGTCTGTATTTCCTTTTATTCAGACTGCACGATGAAAAGAGGAATACTTACAGCTGCCCAAACTGGAGGAGCATTCAGGACAAACACGGAGGCAATACAATTGAGATGCATGACACTCATACTGATGTCATAGAAGGAAAAATAAAGGTGAATTTAGTTTGAAATGATAAAATAAGTTCAGGATTTGGGTATGTTATAGGGGGGCATTAAGTGAGTAGAATAGGAAACTTTAATGCAAATATTACAAATTATGAAAACCCGATTACTCATATATGTGTGAACATGTTCAATTTCTTTCAAACGTCTATTCAATCCTTTCAAATCTGCAGCTTTCATTAAATAATACCTGATGATCCTGACCTGAAGGTTCTTGTTCCAGCACTTCCTAGGACAACAAGTTCTGTCCCTGTCTCCTAATTGTTCTCCTGCATTGCCAACCTGTCACACAGTCTCATCATGTAGACTCTCATTACACAGGCATGGTTCACTGCCATCCCCTTTAAGAAGCCCGCCCTTAGCAATGACGTGCAATGGTTGCTGGAGTGCATGCAATCAATTTAATGCTCATTAAACATTAGGGAAAACGTAATATAGTATCTGGGATAATGTGCCCCCTCGTTTCATCTTTGTTCACAAGACATAGATGACTAAGATAACCTTTGTAATGCTGTGCCATAGGCAGTAATGGGGACAACATTCACTGAGTAGTGGATTTATTTGTGTGCCACTGGCAACTTTTAAAGCTAAACTCCAGACAGATATGAGGGCAAAATGAATTAGGACAGGTATTCATTAATAAATAAATAAATGTATTTCTTAAATGTAACTAGTATAAGCAATAAAAATTAACTTAGTATCAGTCTCATGTAATCTCGTATACAGCAGCACTCACACTGGGAGAGGAAGGGGCAGGACTGGGAGCTAGTCAGGTGTGCTGCATGCAAATATCCTTACAAGGAACATGGTGATTAGAGGAGAGAGCAGAGAGATGACCTCAGCTGTCTGCTTCTGCACTTTTGCTGTTATTTAATAGGCTTGGGTTGGAGAGAAGACACCCTGGTATCCTTTCTGTAGTCTACAAATATCACAGGGAAAGTAGTATCTGGCTTTGCTGTTTTGCAGGGCTGTGTAAATCTCAGGAGTAGATATGAAATACAGAACTAAAATGGCTTTGGGAGGTACAACAGCTTCCATATACCATATCAGACATCTCAACTCTCCCGGATGTTCCAGGAGTTTCCCGCTAGTGGCCCCCGGACACCCGGGAGAGAAACATTTTCTCCCGGAAAGGTTTACTTTGCTTATCTAGCAGAGTAAACCTTTCCCTGCTGACTGTTTCTTTTTTTTTTTCCTGACATCAGGGCCGCTGTCCGCCGGCAGTCTGACAAAAAAAAAACAGCATAGGAATGAATAGCTAGATTGCTTTTGGCTATTTCAATTTGCAATGGCCAAAAGCAGACTAGCTATTGCACCCGCCCACTGCTGCTGTCAATCAGCAGAGGTGGATCTGAAGTTCTCCATCAGATCCTCCTCTGCTGACTGACAGAAGAAGAGGGCAGGTGCAATAGCCAGCTTGCTATTGGCTATTGCAAATTAAAATAGCCAATAGCAGTCTAGCTATTCATTCCAATGCTGTTTTTTTTTTCATTCTGACGGCAGCAGCTGTCAGAATACAAAAAAAAAACAGCAGATAGCAAGGGAAGCAATAGCTTCTTTGCTATCCGCCATCATTTCAGGGGGGTTCTTTCTTCCTTGTTGTTGCACCCCCCCCCTCCCTGAAATGAGAAGGGCACCTCCCTGAAATGACTTATTTCAGGTTGGGATC